ACTGGGGTGTGGCTCAGTGGTAGAGCCCCTGCCTAGATTCCCCCAGTGAGGGGCTGGGGGCGTGGCTCAGTGGTAGAGCCCCTGCCTAGATTCCCCCAGTGAGGGGCTGGGGGTGTGGCCCAACAGTGCACAAACCCCTGAGTTCAATTGTGCATACCAAGAGAAAAGAGGCAGACAAGTTGTAGTTACGGAGCTGGTACCCACTGCTGCAGCCTTAAGAGGGTAAACTCCAGCTGGGTGGTGGTGGTGCACACCCTTAATCCAGCACTTGGGAGGCAGAGGCAGGCAGATCTCTGAGTTTGAGGCCAGCCTGGTCTACAAAGTGAATTCCAAGACAGCCAAGGATACAAAGAGAATCCATCACTCATCCCCCGACCCCCCCCCCCAAAAAAAAGGGCAGAGGGTCTAAGGTTCTATCATTTATTTCATCAGTTGGTCTTGAGATTCACTGCATGAATGAATGAATGGACTATAATTTAGGAGACAGACCCTGTCTGTCTGCCCTGGATGAAATGGCATCAAGCCTGGCCCTGCGATCACACCCAAGCTTCCTCTGTGGCCCCTTGTGACCTTAGCTTGCGCCACTGCCCTAAAGCCGAGCACGCTGTCAGCCCAGCTCTGAGAGCCCACTTTGCGTTATTTTGAGGAAGGAGAGTTTTCCCCACTCACTTCCTGAGAACTGACTGGTCTTGCCAGGGCTGTGCTTGAGGCCTCTCCTGTATCAGCTCTGCAATGACCCCAGGGAGAAGCAGATGCCCACTGAATCAGGATGCTGGCACGGTCCCTTTCTGGTGGCCAGAGATAGTAAAGGAAGTTGACGGGAGATGGAGTTTCTGGGGGGGGGAGCTGTGGGCACACAGAGGGGGTATCTGATGAAACCACACGCCTTTCTGGGCCTCTCCATCAGAAGAAAGTGTATGTGCTAATGAGTCCAAGTACGGTCACAACGGCACATGAAAGCACCGAGTCTGATCTAGTCACAGGGGAGAATAACACAGTTAGTTCCACCATTCCCGGGAAGTTCAACCAGTCTGACAATGTTACATGGTAAGTTCAGGGCCAGCTAGACGGCTCCGCAGATAAAGAAATTTGTCACCAGGCTTGAGCACCTGAGTTCAACGCCCAGATCCATATGGTGGAAGGAAAGAGCCAATGTCCACACGTCGTCCTCTGACCTCCACTGAAGCACTGTGCCTTTAAAACTTTTTTTTTTTTTTCTTTTTCTTTTTCTCTGTTTCCCTGTGTAGCCCCAGCTGTTCTGGAACTGGATCTGTAGACCAGGCTGGCCTAGAAGTAACTCTAGCGATCCTCCTGCCTCTGCCTCCTCCCAATTAAAGGAGTATGCCACCACCGTCCCACTTTCGTTCAATTATTTTTTGGTTTTGTTTTTGTAGACAGAGTTTCTCTGTAACTGCCCAGGCTGCCTTGGTTACTTTGTAGACCAGGTTGGCCTCGGATATCCATCTGCCTCTGCCTTTCAAGTGCTGAGATTAAAGGTGTGTACTATCAGCACCTGGCTTGGTTCAACTTTTTTTTTTTTTAAGATTTTATTTATTATGTATCAAACATTCTGCTCCCATGTCTATCTGCACACCAGGAGATGGCTCCAGATCTCATAACAGATGGTTGTGAGCCACCATGTGGTTGCTGGGAATTGAACTCAGGACCTCTGGAAAAGCAGTCAGTGCTCTTATCTCTGAGCCATCTATCTCTCCAGCCCCTTGGTTTAATTTTAAGCCACCACATTTGACATTCCTTACAGGGACAGACCTTTTTTGGGGGGAGGGTTTGTTTGTTTTTTGTTGTTTTTTCTTTTTTTTTTTAATTTTTGTTGCTGTTCAAGACAAGGTTTCTCTATGGAGCCCTGGTTGTCCTGGAACTCTCTCTGTAGACCAGCCTGGCCTCAAACTCAGAGATCTGCCTTTGCCTTCCAAGTCCTGGGGTTAACGGTGTGCACCACCACTGCCCTGCTGAAGTTCTTTTTCTTGTGTGTGTGTGTGTGTGTGTGTGTGTGTGTGTGTGTGTGTGTGTGAGAGAGAGAGAGAGAGAGAGAGAGAGAACAACTTGTGGGCTTCAGGTTTTATGCGCTACCATGTAGTCCTGGGGAACAAATTCAGGTCTTTTAAGCTTGGCTGCAAGCTCCTTTACTGGCTGAGTCATCTTGCTGACCCTTTCCCTTTTCAACTCTGTGGTTCTTACAGCCATCCTATTAGGTCTACTGAGTTCACTTTTTCAGCCCTAGGATATTAATTTGGTTCCTTTATACCATGTGTTGCTGATACCTGGTACCTGTTTTTTTTTAACTTTTGTTTCTAAGAGTCTCAGGCTGGAGAGATGGCTCAGAGGTTAAGAGCACCGGGTGCTCTTCCAGAGGTCCTGAGTTCAATTCCCAGCAACCACATGTTAGCTCACAACCACCTGTAATGGGATCTGATGCCCTCTTCTGGTGTGCAGCATACACGGAGGCAGAATGTTGTATACATAATAAAAGGTTCTCATATATTCCAGGCTGACCCTTAACATGTTATGCAGTAGTTATCTGCCCATCTCTGCCTCCGTCCAGCCTACTTTTCTTCTGCTAAAGATTTTTATTCGATATGTGTATTGAGTGACTGCATGTGTGTGTGTGTGCACCGTGTGTTTGCTTGGGGCCTGTAGAGCATATGAGAGGGCATTGGATCCCTTTGAGTTTCAGAGGATTATGAGCTGCTGTGTGGATGCTGGGAACTGGACCCATGTTCTCCACAAGTCCAGCCAGTGCTCTGAGCTGCTTAGCTGCCTCTTCAGCCCCCACTTCCCCATCTTTTCACAGACTCAAACACAATGTAGGACTGAGAGTAGAAAATTTCCCCGTTGCATCACCAGAGTCCCTAGGAAGGGACACTCAAAGCCAGAAGCTCCACTGTGCAAATCCAACGGGCCCCTCGAAAAATAAACCCAGGAGAAAAGGAAGCAGCTGCAGCCACCATGGCCTCTACCCAAGGGATGCAGGAAGTAAGCGGTCCCTCACCTTGAGGCCCACCTTGTGACCATGGCAAGATGGATGAGCACCTCTGCTTCGCACATGTCCCACCGTGCTGTGGCTACTTTGGGAAAAGATGGGCTTTTCAGTCTTGACATACTTATTTTCTCCTTTAAAAATATCACTGGGCTGGTACTTGTTGCTGGATGGGCAGAGGTTGTGGCGCACACCTTTAACCCCAGTTCTCCGAAGGCAGAGGCAGGCGGATCTCTGTGAGTGGCAGATTCGAGGCTAGCCTAGGCTACAGAGTGTGCCTGGGATTAAAGGTATGCTCCACCACCACCCAACCCATTTTTTTTGTTTGTTTGTTTTTCGAGACAGGGTTTCTCTGTGTAGCTTTGGAGCCTATCCTGGCACTCGCTCTGGAGAGTGAGTGAGATCCGAGTGCTGGGACTAAAGGCTCGCGCCACCACCGCCCAGCCTAATACATTATTCTTAAGCCCATCACACAAACTGAGTGACTGAGGCACGGAAACTCATTTGCCCACGGTCAGACAGCTACATGGTCGAGTATGAGTGGAACTTGGCCATCTGGAAGGCTTCCCTCTCAACAGTTATGAGGGTGACCTGGGGGAGGGGGGAGGGGGTATAGCCAACACATCCAAAAAGCATCTCACGTTTCTCTCCAAAATCCCGAGTTTAGCCCTGAGGACAGCTGTTGGATTTATGAGCAAGCCCAACATGCTGACAGGCTGCCTGCCTGATGCAATGAGGATTTTGTTCTGTTTATTCTTTGAGATGGGTTCTCACTGTGTAGCCCTAGCAGAGAGCTTGTGAAATGACTGGGAAGGTAGGCTGCCAATCCTGATGATCTGAGGAGTTGATTCCTGCAACTCACAAGGTGGAAGAAAGGACCCACGAGTGACACTAGAAGGAGTGGCCTAGATAAAGGGGGGGGGGTCTTCCCATTTCAAATGATTTCAGGAAAACCCCTCACAGGTGTACCCAGTTGCTTGGGTTTTAGTTAACTCCAGATGTGGTCAAGTTGACAACCAAGGATAGCCATGACAAGTCCATCCCTTGTCAACTTGACACACAATCCTATCTCCTTATGTTTGATTTCCAAATGAAAACAATAAACAAGTTATAATTATACCAAACATAACTACATCCTCAAACAACCACAAAAGCATACATTTTATTTATTTTTGGATACAGGGTCTCACTGTGTAGCCCTGGCTGCTGTGAAACTATGTCAATCAGGCTGACTTTGAACCCACAGAAATCTCTCTGCCTCCTGAGTGCTGGCTGGGATTGAAGGGGTGTGCCACCACTCAGCTGCACTATGAATTTCAGTTTGTAGTCTCATCTTAGCATGAATGTTGTGGCATGTGTGCCTACACACTTAACACCCGTACTCAGTAAAAAAAAAAAAAAAAAAAATGCATAAAAAGTATTTTAAAAAAGCAGATAGCTAAGCCTGGGCATATGGGGGATGGTTTTTGCTTTATTATTTTTGGTTTCTTTGGAGACAAGGTATCTCTGTGTAGTTCTGGAACTCATGGCCCTCCTGCTTCCACTTCCTGGGTTGCGGGAGTACAGCACACACTGCCATGTCCAGTTTCAAAGCGGTTTGAAAAGGATAGAAGTGGAGACACTGTGTGGTTCTGGCCAGCTCATCCCCATCCCTATGCCTCCCACAATCCCATCTTCTGTCCCAAGAGAATTGTGCACCTTCCAGAGGTTCTAGAAGCTACCACTTTACTGAGAACTTTCCCAAAACTTAATGATATCCACTTCTATAACGTACTTGTAATCTGAGATCTGTACACGGAATTTGAAAGCTTAGCGACACTTCTTGCCTGGGGCTGGCAGCTTCGGATTCCCCCAGAGGTCCTCTTGGGTGACTCAGTCTGTTATCTAGAGGCACAAGCTGGAAGGTTTGTTTCACTAAGTGCACGCGTATCTGCTCCCCCTTGCGACCAAGGCTTCACACTGCAACCGGAACAGTGTCATCTGTCCTCTTTCGTACCCCGTGAAATTCATGACTGCTGACCCCAGCCCAGCACCCCAAATGGGAGTCCTTTCCAAGAGGGTCCCGCTGCACCTGGCACAAGTGTGGGGACGGGGTGGGAGCCCTGTTTTGCACCAACCAGAACACAGAGGGCTAAGAACCAGAAGCGATGATGGCACTGCAGGGAAAGTGCCACCGTCTGAGCCAGGGACTCTGCTCTCCAAGCCCTGATCTTCATGCATAGCAGGCGCTGGCCTTCAGCTCCCAGATGTGCCACCTGCCACCATTAAGCACAGGGTTAGGCACCCAGACTCCCAGAATCACCTGCCTTCACCCCGATACCACTGAGAGCGGCCACCACAAAGCTGACGCTCTCAACACCCAGGCGGAGTATCACCACCTGCGAGTCCTGCCCGTGCAGCCCAACAGCTGCAGGATCAAGAGGAAGAAGGAACAGAGGTGGTGGCACTGGAGACAGGAAGACCTCTGAGATTCTTTAGGTCTGGGGAAAAGGGGAGACCAGCCAACCCCAAGTTTCTAAAACAGAGACACAGGCAAGCTTGAGAGTGTTATTGCTTTATTATCACTCCTCACAAACAGCCAAGGGAATCTATGAACTAGAAAAGACAAGTTGTCCCACCCCCCCCAAAAAAGACCAAACCAACCCAGCCCTCTCACTTGAGGACCTGGTGCCCAAGACCACAAAACCGGGAGAGTGAAACCTCCCACTCTGGCACATACCTTTTGTATTTTGAGACAGTGTCTTGGTACATTATGTAGACCAGCTTGGCCTTGAAATTTACAGCATTTCTCCTGACCCTGCATCTCAATTTCCAGGCCCACACATGGCTCCCGGGATTGACTTTTAGAAATAAAAATTTGGGGCTGGGCGGTGGTGGAGCACACCTTTAATCCCAGCACTTCAGAGGTAAAGGCAGACGGACCTCTGTGAGTTTGAGGCCATCTTGGTCTACAGAGCGAGTTCCAGGACAGCCAGAGCTACACAGAGAAACTCTTAAGAGATGGCTCCACCATTAAAGGTTAAGCTAATAGGTCCAAAACCAAAAGACAAGATATGAACAGTTCCACTAAGGTTTAACTTGTAAGATAGCTGGGTGACAGTCTCTCCCATTCCACAGCCCAGGCTACAGCCTGATGAAGGCTCCGTAACACGGGCTGTTCACAGTCCTTCAGGGTTTGGCAGAAGTGAATTCCACTGGGTTTCAAATGGGCCTTATACCCCTGCTCCTTTCTGCTGACCCACTGAAGGGAGGGAGACAAGAGGTGGCAAGCATGCAGCTCTTGCCACACTGTCGGTCCCCAATGATAGCAAGTGAGCAACGGCAGAGGGGTGCTATGCGATGGCCATACTCGAGCGATGGCAGGTTCCCGCCAGTGGCTGTGGCTCACTTGGGACCTAGGCACTCCACAATTCCACTCCCCTTCATGCCGTCGAAAAAGAAGAAATTGTTGTGAGGAGGGTCCCGTTGAGACAGGGCCTGGGAGAGACAAAAGAGATCTCAACCTCAGTGTTAAGAGACACACCACCACCACCACAACAACCAATTGACAGGCCTTCTACAAGTGGACTGGGAAAAATTAAACAAAAATTACAATTCAATAGTCAGGGTGATGGCACAGGCCTCAAACCTCAGAACTCAGATCTGAGTATGTTGATATACTAGGCCTACATACTACAGCCAGACACAGTGAGACCCTGTCTTAAACCAACCAAACCAAATTATAGACAAGCAATTGAGGAAAGGACAGTGTTCCTCAACTGGAGCCAGGCAACCTTTGTTCCAGGAGTCACTGGCATGTCTGGAAATGCTTCTGACTGCCACCCCTTTCTTGTCCCACTCCTCAGGGCATACTCTGAATATCAGGAGCTGTGTTACCAATGGGGAGAGGTGGAGCACTGTCTTGAGGATGCCACAAGACAGAGCACCAAAGAGCATGGAGCCCAAAGAGGAGCTGACCCACATCTAGGGAGCCTTAGTCTCCTGTGCTCAGTGCTTTAGCCTCCTGCAGATGCCAGTGCTAACTCAACTCATTCTAACACATGGTTTGCTGGCCTGCTGCTTTCACTATTGCCTCTAGCACTGTGTGCAGAAAGTCATGGGGACACAGGGATGACTGAAGCCTAAAGCCTGCCAGGACAGGATGGATGGAGAGAGGGAGGGAGGGATGGAGGGATGGAGGGAAAGCTGATCTGTAGGACTTTCACACCCACCCCCCACTCTGACCCCCTCCCATGTACTTTTTATAGGTGCTCAGAGAGCAGGCCTCAGATGCAGGCCCTCCTGCCAGCTGGCCAAAATGTTGTGAGCAGAGGGAGTGGAGGGGATGAAGGGACAGGGCACAGGGTGAACGTGGGGCAAAAGGTAAAGTGCTTCCCGAGCAAGATGGGGTAGGAGATTCCAAACACACCCAGCAACCAAGAATGTGGAGTGTGCCGACTGTCTGGGGTAAACAGAAACAAGATGCTGAGCGACAGCTGTGCCGCCAGGCAGGAAGGAGGGGGCAGCACCAAGACAGAGATGCGCAGAAGCCGTCACCAACAATGGTTCAGGGCCACCTGCCCCAACCTCCACTCTCCACCCCCAGGACAAATAGCGCCAAGCCAGTCTCTGGACGGGTGTTGTTAGGGCGCCATCTGCAGGCTAACATCTGAAGAGTTGCTGGGCTCTCCTCCTCCTGCCTCTAGAGCCCTAGGTCTAGAGGCAGGGGGGACTTGGGCAAATGAGTTTAGCACAGGCTAAACTCATTTGCCCAGCGGGAGTGAAAAAGAATAACATCCTCTTTGGTCTGAACTTTACTCACAGAGATGTGGGAACCTCTATCCACAGAAGACAAGGACAACAGCTAAGAGATTTCTACAGAGAAGAACTGCCATGGGGGCTCATGCTTGCCATTCCAGCACTCAGGTGCCTGAGGCACAAGGACTTCGAGTTCAAGGTCAACCTGGGTTATGGACTGAAACCCTGTCTGAAGGAAAAAAAACAAAACAAAACAAAAAAAAAACCCCTCAAGTTTCTAGGGACTGATCCGGGGCCTTGAGCATGCTAACCACGGAGTTACACTCCAATCCTACAGAAAACAAATTTAACAAAGTTGGACAAATATCCGAGTCTCCAAAGGAAATAAAATCCACCTCAAAGTTTGCCAAAGTTTTAGCACCCCAAACATAGAAAGGCTACACTAGTTGCCATTTCTAGTCCTTGTCTGTAAGGCATTAATTGCACACAGCAGGTCACTCTGGAGACTCATGTAGCTGCTGGCAGAGCATATGCCCCAAAGACCTTCAACACAGATGTCCACAGCATTCGGAATAAACGGGGCGCTCTGACACCACTGATGGATTAGGTTAAGAGCACAGGTGTTGAGAGTCTCCTACGTTTTCCTCTTACTGGGATCTCCAGCTACCCACACAGCTGGTAGAGCAGAGAAAGTGGCAACTATAGGAAGGAAGCATCCGAGGCCAACGAGCTGGTGGGCCCGTGGATGATCGGATAGGAAGAAAGCCGGGGCATCAAGGCTGAGGGCAAGAGATCAGAAGGCCTGAGCCAGCCCAAGGCTCGGTGAGTGTGTAGTCAGGGCGTTGGCGGTGGGCTCCATGTTGATTTTACCTTCACAATTTCCTGTGCCAAGATCCCTCCAACCACAGCACATACTGGGGCCATCTCAGAGAAGCAGTACCTAGAAGACAGAAAAGTAAATCATCATCGTACCAGTGTATAAAAGTCCTAGTCAGAGAGAGGGCCGGAAGAGAAACGGCATCCAGGCGTGAAAATTAAATCTGACCCCAGGGGCTCTTAAATGGGTGGGAAAGACCTTTAACTTTGGAAAGCAAGAATTCCTTCACGTGAATTTTTAAAACTTCAAGGAAAGACTATATCTGTGCTTCCTAAAAATAAGGCCCTACCAATACCAGATGTGTGAGTGCCCGATGACATTCTTGCCATTCTCCTCTCGGCACACAGCAGTGTGTTCTTCTGGACGCTATTCCCAGAACCATGGGCAAGCAGGCTGGGTTAACACACAGCAAGATGGGAAACATGGGGTGTAGCACAAAGGCTGCATGACCCTCCTAGGAAGCACCTCCTTCCTTCTGGTCCTGGGGTCCAAAACACATTCAGCCATGGGCTCCCAAAGGAAGCTAGTTCCCAGCCCACAACACAGGAGTCAGAAGAGAAAACAGGGACAGCAGGTCACCCTGACCCTTTTACATGGGTACACATCCTTTTAGACAATTTTAAAGGCATACCACCTTCACACATATAATATAAACTTAACTACCACATCCATTTTGTGATCTGGAAAGTCAATGGTAAGTGGTCCTGCCCACCAGGAATCACGCATGAACCATCCATCTTGGAACTGAGCTTCCTATTTCTCGCAAAAGAACATGAGTACATATTGTGTATACACTGCTAAATTTTCCTCCAGAAGGGTCTGCTGCACATTAAGGAGCCTGACCCACATGGCAGATACAGGATAACAAAGCAAACCCCATGACCAGGCACGGTAACAATGTTCCTTTTCTATCACAAAAGGAAACAAAAACCCAGACTATGTAGTTCAGGCTAGCCCCAAACCTCAGAATCCTCCCACTTCAGCCCCAGGAGTACTAGAGATTGAAAGTGAGTATGACTACACTCCCAGCCTTCTTGTTTGTATGGTACTGGGGTCTAACACAGGTCTGGTATACGCCACAGGTGCTGTACCACTGAGCCACACCTCTTTTTACACACCCCCTCCCCCAGACAGGGTTTCTCTATGTAGCCCTGTCTGGTCTCAAACTCAGAGATCCCCCTGCCTCTAACCTGAGCCATAATTTCTACTGGCAGCCTATATAAAGAACATGGAAGAAGGAAGCTGTGCTCTCTTTACTGGCTAAT